CAGATGCAGGAGGCCCAGAGCAGGACTTTGAGAATCCTTTGGTAAAAGGAAGAGCTAGCAGATACCATGGAGCCAAGTTCAAGACCCAGGGTGTCCTTGAAGGTGGAGAGAACCTCACAGGTACCAGGCACCCAAGTAGGCAGGCCATGGAGAAGGAAAGGGCAGAAGGCACTGTGAGTCTAGATAAATAATCAGGTCCAAAGTCTGTGGAGGCTAAGATGGGCCAAGAAGAGCCAATGGGTCCATGGGAGAAGTGCCAGCAGGCTGGCTGTCTGCCCTCTGTCCCCCTGGTTCATCGTCTTGCCCAGGAGGGAAGGAGCTATGAAGAGCCACGTGTCCTGGAGGGTCTTGATGGAAGAAAATACAATCCTCTTAGGTCTTCTGCAGTGAAGGGCAAGGTGATTCAGGGAATGGGGTTTGGCGGTTAGACAATGGTGTTCACAACTAGAACTTTTCCTATTTATCCTACAGGTGTACTTGTACAAATGCACAAAGACATATGGTCCAAGGATGTTCATTAAGGCATTATTTGTAATAGTAAATAGAATTGTTGTTGTTCAACTGGCCTTGGAGCAATTAACTCAGTGCCCCACAACTACTGAGCCCATACCCTGAAACTTCTGAAGCCCACACACCTAGAGTCCAAGCTCCACAACAAGAGAAGCCACCGCAATAAGCCCACACACAGAAATGAAGAGTAGCCCCCATTCACTGCAACTAGAGAAAGCCCAAGCACAGTGATGAAGACCCACCACAGCTCCCCAAATTAAATAAATAAATCTTAAAAAATAATAAATAAGTCCAATGCAACACCAATTAAAAGCCCCAAAAGGATTTTTTGAGAAATTGACAAGCTTATTCTGGAGTATAGGTGAAAGAACACATGGCCAAAACTATTTAAGACCATTTTCAAGAAACAGGGCAAGGTGGAAATTTTGTGGGTTTGTCCTTCTAAATGACAGGACTTATTATAAATGCACAGAAGTTAAGATGTGGCGTACTGACTCAGAAAGAAACAAGCAAACTAAAGGACAAAGCTATGACAAAGCTAGATAGGGTATTAAAAAGCAGAGATATCACTTTGCTGACAAAGGTCCATATAGTCAAAGCTTTGATTTTCTAGTAGTCATGTGTGGATGTGACAGTTGGACCATAAAGAAGGCTAAGTGCCAGAGAATTGAAGCTTTTGAATTGTGGTTCTGGAGAAGACTCTTGAAAGTCTCTTGGACTACAGGGAGATCAAACTCATCAATCCTAAAGGAAATCAACCCTGAATATTCATTGGAAGGACTGATGCTAAAGCTGAAGCTCCAGTACTTTGGTCACTGATGTGAAGAGCCAACTCACTGGAAAAGATCCTGATGCTGGGAAAGATCGAGGGCAGGAGGAGAAGTGGGCAACAGAGGATGAGATGGTTGGATGGCATCATCTACTCAATGAACATGAATTTGAGCAAACTCTGAGAGATAGTGAAGGACAGGGCAGCCTGGCATGCTGCAGTCCATAGGGTCACAAAGAGTCAGACACAACTTAATGACTGAACAACAACAAAGAAACAGAGCTCAAAAACAAACCCCCAGGTTTATGAGTATTGATCATGCAATAGAGATGGCATTGTCCTGACAGGGTTTGGGCATACTACTCCAAAATACAGCACCTCAACATATTGACTATTTTTATTTTTATTTGTTTTGGCTACACTGAGTCTTCTTTGTGGAACACAAGGGTTTTCTTTGGTTGCGGTACATGGCTTAGTTGCTCCCAGGCATGTGGGATCTTAGTTCTTCAACCAACCAAGGATTGAAGCCATGTCCCCTGCCATGGAAGGCAAATTTCTAACCACTGGACCTCCAGCAAGGTCCCTGGCATATTGAATATTTTTAAATGAAAAGATTTGAGAAATGACAGGTGCCAGAAGGACTCTGACTTTCCCATGAAGCAGGTCATAAGACCCTCATGTGAGAGGTCCCCTCCCTGTACCTGGAGAAAAGGAGCCTTTTCGATGCCAGTGATGGAGGGATACTGAGGGGAACCTGAAAGAATAGACTTTGCTAAGTTCCCCCCAGTTCACTACCCTGGGCTCAAACTCTTTTTTTCTATTACATTTTCCCACAATTTTCCACTCTTTGATCAAACTTGGTATAAAAAAACACTGAAGCTTAACTGTTTCTTCAGGTCTTCCTTTCCTTATAATGGCTCCTGTATCTCATGCAACTTTTATTTAATAAATTTGTGTGCTTTTCTCCTGCTAAGCTTTTGTTACAGAGTCCCAGTGAGAGCACAGAAGGGTAGAAGGAAAGGGATAATTTTCCTCCCTTAATAGTAGATTAGCAATAAAATATTTGATTGTATCAATTGGAACTGAGCAACTGATTGTATGAAAAAAGTAAATTAGACCCTCACTTTGGGTGTTGTTGATAAGCTTCTGCTCTAGCTGAGGCAACCTTTTCAATTGCATGGATTTGTATATTGGGGAAAGAAACAGGATTCCAGTGTCCCTGGGGCAATGGGATTAGGGGAACCAGGAAGTGGAGGGTCTTTCGAGTTATACCCAAGTGCATGTCAGCAGCTCTTGAGCACAAAAAGCAGAGGAAATAAACTCTGACTCTGCTGGCTGACATTGTGGCCTAAAAAATAAATTAAATGAAAACCCTGGAAGCAAATTGGGTGTTGAGATTTCTTGTGGTTTTGATCTAGTCCTCACATGAGGATACAGTAGCTTTGGTTGTTTCACAACCAAGTGAGTTTGTTTCCAACTGTAAAAATGATTTGGTGCAGGATATCAATTTTATGACCTTTCCCTGGGTGTAAAAGACTGGAAAATGCTGGAGGAAAAGCTCTCTGAAACACAAGTGCTCGCCACATACCTTCCTGCCTCTAGGAGTGAGAGCTAGTGGAGAGCTAGCAAATGATTACATTATTTCTGCAATAAAGCCTGATACATCCATAATAAAAGTTAATGATTATGCACAGACTTTCAGATACTTCCAAAGAGTCTAGACTAAAAAACACTAAATCTTATGTTCACTCTTGCAAATTCCATGGCAGTAGGATTTTAAATTTGCTTCAGTAACAGCCTAAGGCTATTAGTAAACATATTTTTTTTCTTTTGTCATCCAAACAGCCCCACTTAGAGCTCTGTCAGAACTCTCAGAATAGGTCTAGGCTGTAAACTGTGTTTCAAAACATCAAAAAGATATAGTGCATGCTCAGTTGTTTAGTCATGTCCGACTCTTGCAGCCTCACAGACTGTAGCCCACCAGGGTCCTCTCTCCATGAGATTCTCCAGGCAAGAATGCTGGAGTGGGTTGCCATGCCCTCCTCCAGGGGGTCCATTGGCAGGCAAGTTCTTTACCACTAGTGCCACCTGGGAAGTCCTTGTCTTTTGATGGTACCATACTGTTTTGATTCCTGTAGCTTTATAGGAAGTTTTACAATCAGGAAGTGTGAGGCCTCCAAATCTGTTCTTTTTCAAGATTTTTTTGGGCTCTTCTGAGTCCTTTGAGATTACGTATGAATTTTAGGATGAATTTTGTTTTGCAAAAAGCATTGTTAAAGATTTTGATAGAGATTGCATTGAATCTGTAGATGTTACTATTACTTTTTTAAAAGCTTGTCAAATGGGCATATTGAAATGGTATTTTGCTGTATTTTGTTGTTGTTGTTTATTTGGCTTCACCAAGTCTTAGATGCAGCATGTGGGATCTAGTACCCTGACTAGGAATGGAACCTGAGCCCGCTGCATTGGGAACACAGAGTCTTAGCCACTGGACCATCATGGAAGTTCTGAATTTTGCTGTATTTTAATATGCATTTCTCTTATTACAAATAAAACTGGCTACTTGTACCTCCCCTTATCAAATTGCCTCTATCCTTTGTCCACTTTTTCTATTAGAGTTTTACTGTCATGTAAATAGAGGATGTTACAAGTAGCAACACTTTTGTTACATAAAATCATCAAATACTCATTGGGCACCTTTTTAGATGAGGCCCTGAGTTGGATGTTGGGCTACAAGTAGAGGTTGGAAACAAGATCAGAATCCCTGCAATCATGGGGCAGGAAGGTAGATAGACAGTGTGGAAGAATTACCCAAATACATAATAACGAGTTGGGATAAGTAATACAAAGGTAAGGACCAGAGTGTGATAAAGAGGATCAAATCTAATCTAGGGTTCAGGGAAGTCTTTTCTCAGGAAGTGACACTGTAACTATGATTTAGAAGATGAATAGGAAATAGCTAGGTCTTTCCTGGTGGTCCAGTGGTTAAGAATCCTCCCCCCAATGCAGGAAACACGGGTTTGTTCCCTGGTCCAAGAAGATCCCACATGCTGTGGAGCAACTAGGCCTGTGTGCCACAACTACTGAGCCAGTGCTCTAGAGCCTGCAAGCAGCAACTACTGAAGCCCAAACGCCTAGAGCCTGTGGTCCACAAGAGAAGCCACTGCAATGAGAAGCCCAAGCACTGCCAGGAGCTAGAGAACCTCACTCACTGCAAATCGAGAAAGTCCTTGCACAGCAATGAAGATCCAGCACAGCCAAAATTTAAATATTTTTTTTAAAAAAGGAACTAAAGATGGTATGTGGAGTTGGAGAGCATTCCTGGCAAAGATATTTAGCAGGTGCAAAGGCCCTGAGGCCAAAGAAGCTGGTTATGTACAAGGACATGAAAGAAGGTGGTTTGAACTGAAATGTGAAGGGAAGTGGGAATCAGGCTTGGAGACTAGAGATCCAGGCATCTGACAATTGGTCAGAAGCGATTTCCCCTTTCTTAAGTAAAGTGAAAATCACTTAGTCGTGTCCAACTCTTTGCAGCACCATGGACTAATTCCCCAGGCCAGACACTGGAGTAGGTAGCTGTTCCCTTCTCCAGGGGATTTTCCCAACCCAAGGGTCAAACCCAGGTCTCCTGCATTGCAGACAGATTCCTTACCAGCTGAGCCACTAGGAAAGCCCCAGAATATAGATATAGCGACAACCACCTGAGGCGTAGGCTTCCATCTTGTGGTTTTGCTTTTGCTTCAGAATAGTTTTATTGGTTTGGATACACTTTTTCCACAGTCAACTTTTCCGCTTCTACTTTGACACACATATTCACTCGGAGTCTTCATTGAAGTCTTCGTCACCGCATAACTCATGTATTGTAATGTTATTGTGTATGTCAGCAGGTACCTCGAAACTGGGAAGACTGAGGTTACTGCCGGTTGCCATGGCGAGTTTCAGATTCTGCACCCTGGACACAAATTTCACAAGGTCCATCTCAAGCTGGTTTAAGGTATCGAACATATAGTCTTTGTTGGGGGAAGCCTTTTTTTCTTTCTTTCCCGAAGAGCCAAGTGAACCACCCCGAAGGGCAGGAGGAGTCTGCACAGTACTCTCGTCACTGTCTCCTGGGAACTTCTGTATCACAAACAGCACAACGAGGAGAAAAAACCAGTGCAACTTGCTGCCAAGCCAGCCTCGGTCATGCTCTGGTAGATTCTGCTGAATTCGAAAGTGCCTTCCGCAGGGCACCGTCCCGGGGAGCTCTATGGTGTCATCTCTCAGACAGAAGAACACAAAAGCACAGAAAGAGGACACACACATAGACCAGAAAAAGAACCACATCACAGACCGCATGGTGAGCGGAGAAGTGGCTCCTGGCGCGCTGGTCTGCCCTGGCATCTGGAGACTGAGGACCAGGCAGGGTGGGGCCCTTGGTGACGTCACAGAGGGCCCCGCCCTGGCTAGGACCCGTCTGGCCATTGTGATGACTTCAGGGCAGAGAACAAGGAGGCTTGCGGGGGTCAGCTGGGAGTAGGGCTTAAAGGGAAGTGGTAACTTTTCCAGCAGGCAATCCAAAAAGAGGCGGGGAGTGACGGAATGCCATCCATCTCCTTGCCAGTGTATTCTTTCTGAACCTGCTGCTCTACTGGGAGGGTGGGTCCATCTTCTATTTTTAGTTTTCCCTTTGTTGAATCCAGACACTGGTGAGCAGAGCAGACCCACAGGCATGTGCCCCTGTGGAGTAGAGCCAAAGGGAAAGAAAGATATTAAACCAGAGGCTGCAAACGGGGAGCCACTGATGTGTTTTGTACGGCCTACACTGTTCCTAAAGATGGTTGTGCTCAGTCACGTCTGAACCTTTGAGACCCCACGGACTGTAGCCCACCAGGCTTCCCTGTCCATGGGATTTCCCAGGCAAGATTACTGGGGTGGGTTGCCATTTCTTTCTCCACATCTTGTTTTCTTCTCCCCTCTCCACTCTGCCATTTTCTTGGATGAATTCACCTTCCATCACCCTGGTGCTTTCCTTAATAGGTTCATCCATTCAGCCATTCATTTATTCCACAAATATTCACTGAGCACCTTTGATGTGCTGGCTAATCAATAAGCCAATCTCAGATACTGATAAGTTCTTAGAGGTGGATGAAGAGGGGGGAAAGTGGAGAGTCGACTGGGCGGCAGTTGTTGTAGAGCCAGTGTGGCTGGAGCTCTGGGCAGACACCATGGGGCAGAAGGAGGGATGCTGGTGCAAGCCCCTCCTCCTGCCAGGGTGAAAATGGGATCTTCTTCATGTTCAGGACAAAGGGAAGTCACATATGATTTTCCATCAGGTTTGTGTCTGGGAAAGCTGTCTGGCTAGGTTGGGAATAATGAAGCCAGGGCAGCAATCCCAGAGGTCCTGCGAGGCCATTCAGTTGCCCAGGTGGGAGATGAGTGTGTCCTAAGAAAAATGGGCTTTCCCTTATGGCTCAGCTGATGAAGAATCTGCCTGCAATGCAAGAGACCTGGGTTCGATCCCTGGGTTGGGAAGATCTCCTGGAGAAGGGAAAAGCTGCCCATTCCAGTATTCTGGCTTGGAGAATTTCATGGACTGTACAGTCCATAGGGTCACAAAGAGTCGGACATGACTGAGCAACTTTCACACTAAGAAAAAGCAGCGAACACAGAATGACATGAGTGGATGACTCCAAGGTGTTCAAGAAGGTGAATTCACAAGACCCAGCGAAGGGAGAGTCAGGGAGGGCGATGGGGGGAAGCCCAGGATGTAGACTCAGGTCCTGGGGGTAGATCCAGAGAGAATGCCTTTTAGTGAGAAATGGAACTCTGCAAGGGTCCCACTGGAAGGGAGGACCTAGAGTTTTGTTTTGGTGAGTTAGTGCTTGGAGGCGCCTGAGCAAATAGCAAGTTGGAGGAGGCAGAGAAAGGGCAGTCTGTGGATTTGATATATTTCCAGGGGGAAAACAATAAGATCTTTAGATCCATTGAACACTGGGAATCAGAGAGGCAGAAGTGATGAGGAGGAACTGGAGTCTCCAGCTTGTATCACCCGGAAAGATGATGGTGGTGTTTGTGATAACTATTTTTACTTGTTTGCCTTTTACTTTTGTTTGGGGTGGGATTAACTTAGCTGACCATGGGAGAATAGTTTGCCTGTACATTTTAAGAAAGTTAAAGTGAAATATATGTTGGTCACAGAAATTTGGGGCCATGGTAAACCAGTATCCTAAAAATAAAACCCTCATTATCTCCAAGAAAAAATATTGAGTTGGCCAGAAATTTCATTTGGATTTTTTTGGCAAGATCTTATGGAAAAACCCAAATGAACTTTCTGACCAACCCAATACAAATCTTGTGCATTAACCCAGAATAATCAGAAGAACTGATTATTCATTCATCAGTTCTTCTTTCATCAAGAGAATGTGAGTTTGCTTATAATATTCCCATTGTCTCTCAAAAATTGTTGAATTCCAGTAGCGATTAAAAAAAGTCCCAGATTGTGGGGGAGCGATAGACTGGGAGCTTGGGATTAGCAGGTGCAAACTATTACATATAGAATTGATAAACACCAAGGTCCTACAGTAAAACACAGGGAACTATATCCAATATCCTGTGATAAACCATAATGGAAAAGAATATAAAAAGAGTGTATATATAGGTAAATCACTTTGCCGTACAGCAGAAATTAACACAAACTTGTAAATCAACTATACTTCAATTTAAAAAATGCATCCCTGACTTAAAAAAAGGAAAAGTCTCAGGTTATAAACTGACAATGTAACCTGAAAGCCGCTCAGACCTGATGAATCGCTTTTTAAGCACTCACGAAAACAACCGTTCCTCTTGTTCCCAGTGCAGCTTGGAGCCACAAAAATTAATTACATCACCTGCGAAATTAGTCCTATGTTTTGCATCCAAAGGTCAGTGTTCTGACTGAGAAATGGTTTAGTGCTTTCAAACACAGGGCTGAGCACATAAATATTTATCACAGGAGGACAGGAACTCACTGTACATGCGTGTTTGCCTTATCAAGCAGTTACCTGGGGCAACAAGTAAGTCTGTCTGCTTCCTGTCCCAATTTCTTTTGCCCAAGACCTTGGGCAATTGTTTATTGGACAGAGTGTTCTGTCCCATTTCTCTTCTGGGAATAAAGGCATAGAGTGCCAAACAAACACACCTCCTGGTCTACCAATACCTGATTTCTGGAGAGGAGAGGGTTCTAGGTGTTTGCTAGAAAGATCAAACAACACTTATGAAAGAGAAAACTGTTGGCTACACCCAGCAGAGAACAGAAAGCATGCATTTCCCCATTCCTGATTTGCTTGTTTTCATTACGGTTTTGAATGCTTTCCATGGACTTTATGGAATGTTCAAGCTTTTGATAGTGAAGATGATGTAACAGAGAGATGGGTAAGCAACAGTTCCTGGTCATGATTTGTGGTAAATGCACAGCCTTGTATTTTATTAGTTTTCTATGTTCATAAGACGAAAATGTTAAAGAAACATTGGCCAAGTCAGCTTGAATCTGGCTACATATTTGTTTTGGCCACTCTGAGCTTTCATTTCACAAGTTCTCATACAAACCAGCGGAGGCCATTGTTACATAAGAAAGTTCAGCTGGTCCGGATGCCAACAAGTCAATTCAGCATTTCTCTGTCTCCTCTCAGTGGTCTCAAGGAATGGCTTCATGAATCTTCCGGCTTAAACTAAATAAACTCATATGCAGGGAAACTCTGACAACAAGTTATTTTTCAAGTGTTAGTTTCCATATCCTCCAAGATTCTGGTTCTCACTAATGGATCAGTAGACACCCGGTGTAGATTTATCATAATCAATTTTGAGTCTATTAGTCTCTTCCACCTGCTGACCTACTAACTCTGAAGGTTTATTGGCAATTCCAGATTGTTGTATTTTAATTTGCATTAAATTCAACAGGCCATTTATATCTCTTTCTGAATTGCCTGTGGAGTTTTGATATTAGGTATGTAAAGGATAGGGCTTCCCTGGTATCTCAGACTGTGGAGAATCTGCCTGCAATACAGGAGACCTGGGTCGGGAAGATCCCCTGGAGAAGGGAATGGCTCCCCATGCCAGGATTCTCACCTGGGGAATTCCATGGACAGAGAAGCCTGGCAGGCTACAGTCCATGAGGTGCAAAGAGTCGGACATGGCTGAGCAACTAACACATACCTATAAAGGATATTTTGGAAGAAAAGCTATAACAAACCTAGAAAACATAATAAAAAGCAGAGACATCACTTAGCTGACAAAGTTCCATGTAATCAGAGATATGGTTTTTCTAGTAGTCATGTATGGATGTGAGAGTTGGACCATAAAGAAGCTTGAGGGCAGAAGGATTGATGCTTTCAAGACTCTTAAGAGTCCCTTGGACAGCAAGGAGATCAAATCAATCAATCCTTAAGGAAATCAACCCTGAATAGTCACTGGAAGGACTGATGCTGAAGCTAAAGTTCCAATGCTTTGACCACCTGATGCAAAGAGCCATCTTATTGGAAAAAACCCTGGTGCTGGGAAAGATTGAGGGCAGGAGGAGAAGGGAGTGAGAGAGAATCAGATGGTTGGATAGTATCACCAACACAATGGATGGACATGAATTTAAGCAAACTCTGGGAAATAATGAAGGACAGGGAAGCCTGGCATGCTGTGGTCCATGGGGTTGCAAGGAGTCAGATATGGCTTACAGATTGAACAACAACAAAACGTAAAGGGTATCAAGAATATCAACATTTCTTTGTTACATAAAATTGCTAACTGTCCTTTGGGCATCTCTCTGGTCTTGGGCATTGTGGGCAGATTCTTTTGTTTGTTCTAAATGTACCCCTGCCAAGCTTCATGAGATAATCCTTCCAACTAATTTCCCAAAATTTGGTAAACAAGCTTATGTTATTTAATGACTGCCTGAGGACAGGGCTTGGTCTATCTTGTGCATTTTGAGTCCTAGATGTGCCCAGACCAAGTAGGCATTTGATAAATATTTGTCGAATGGACAGAAAATCCTTCAGAAATTATTTTCTAGTTTCCCTTGATCTATCCTCTTAGTAGGTGGAAAAAAAAAAAAACTATTTTATTCTAACCCCAACAACAATTTCCCCTCCTTGTGATTATTTTAATGGTTCTCCTTCAAGCTATTTTCTTGACACACAATAATTTAAAATGTGGACTTCCCTGGTGGGCCAGTGGCTAAGACTCCATGCTCCCATGCAGGGGTCCTGGGTTCTATCTTTGGTTGGGGAACTAGATCCCGTATGCCAACACTAAGAATTAACATGCAACAACTAAAAAAAAAAAAAAAAAAAAAAGTGCAGCTAAGACCTGGCACAGTCAAATAAATAAAAATTTTTACAAAAATAGTTAAAAGTGTATATGATGTCCCAGGTTGTACACAAAAATATGGACATGTTTTCATAAAATCCTGCCTTATGTGTTTTATGGGTTTTTGGCCACAGGGATCTATTAGCCAATATGTTCAATAGAATAGTCTGTTGTAACTCCCTTAAAACTGATATAATGGAGCTTATTATCCTGTAATTATCACTTGTGTTATGATGCCAAGTTTCACTGATTCATTAGCTTGTGCTTGTCCTTCCTGAAACGAGTTTTCAGGATTACACAATCCTACGCACGTGTGGCATAGGTGATGCATCACAACCGTGAATGAACTGAGAAATTCTGGGTGGTTCCCTCTTGCTCCAGAACCTCCCCCATATCCAAGTTCAATTGTGCCTGAGTTCCAGTCCTGTTCATCCATTCCCTGTTTATTAGGAATATCTGTGTCAGATATTACATGAGGCACCAGCAGCAGAGATTTTTGCCTGGGGCTAACGATTTCTTTTCAAAAGTAGGTTCAACCTGGGTAGATATCACATGAATCACAGATGTCT